GGGGAGTGAGCTGGTATATTGGTAGAGCGCGGGATTTCGGTGCCCAAGGTCCTGGGTTTAAATCCTGCCAATAACCAATGGATTTTATCCATGTGATAATGCCATAACCTTCTAGGACTAGCCTGAAGTAATGCGCGATAGAACTAGCGCCCTAGGTCTAGGATGTGAAGGTAGGGTATGAAAAACACAAAAACAAACAAAATAGTTGTCCACCATAAGTAGTACGTTTTCTGTGACCATAGTACTACTCTGCCCTGCTAAGAAAGAAGGCAGTATGTGCAAAAGTGAATATTTTCAGAAAATGACCTCAACTTTGCCGCTATTGCCCTGACACATCTGAAGACTAAACTAATATTTTTTGTTATCTTAGGTAATGCTTAGGCCTAAATATTCAATTGACACTATAAAAAATACATTTTTTCCACTGGATCAATATAAAAATGCACATACTGCTTTTGTCCTTAGAAATATTTGTGTTCATGCTAAGCCAAAAGGCAGCATCTGCTCATACTGCCATTTTGCTTAGCTAGTAAGTGATAATAGGATGACCCTAAGCTAAAAAGCAGCATCTAACTACTACTAGCCATTTTCATATTTACAAACAACAGTGTAAACACAAACACAACAACATAATCTCAGCTGGTAAAAAGTGTTTTTAGTTCCTCATTTGTACCCATACTGCTAAGCAAAAAGGCAGTACGTGATGTACATCACTAAGCATAAAGGCAGTATCTACATCTCAGATACTGCCTTTCTTGCTTAGCTTTTTTAGATACTGCCTTTTAGCTTAGTTTTTGTTGAAAAATGATGTATATACTGCCATATACACCTGCCATATCTCAGAAACGGTTGTAGATACGGCTTTTTAAGTGTGTTTTTCAGAATCCCTGACCCCAAAAACCTTAAATTACATCAAAATCTGAAAATCGAAAATTTTGCACTTACTGCCTTCTTTATTAGCAGGGCAGTACTATAGTATAGAGGCCAATGGCGAGAGCGCAATGACTAATACCACCTGACCACAGAATCGTCCCTTCTTCAAATCCAACCAGGAATCTTCTTGATTTGAAGATGAGCACTCACCGATCGCATTGCCATATGGGTCAACAGTGCCAAACTTCGATGGATCCACTGGCACAGTTATGCCATACGCGGAACTGCCAGAGAAAGTATGAGTCAGATAGTGTTGTCTGGTCGGTTGTATGGTTGTCCTGCCATTGTACTGTTGTACAGTTGTCACCGCAGGCGTTGATATTTGATATTACGTAATGTCTATTGTGACGGTGTTAATCCTCATCCTACGCTGTCACTTCCACTACTAACCCACTGACATTCTCGTTTGGTGCGCTGTGCTCGTTCTCGTTTGAATAGATCGTGCATTAATTGCGCCAAAGACTAAATACCAATGACAACAACGAGTTCCTTAATTGCGCCAAACCCTCTAAGGGTACCAACAAATGTTCCTTAAGCGCCAAGCCTAAGTCAGGTAGGGGTGAGCTGCCGGCAGAAGAGATAACCTGGTTTACGTTTCATCTTAACCTAACCTAACTTAACCTAACCTAACCTAACCTAACTTAACCTAACCATTGACTTTATATCTACACTCTAACTTAACCTAACCTCCTGACCTAACCTAACTTAACCTACCCTAACCTAACCTAACTTAACCTAACCTAACCTACTCAATTATACAGTCAAAGGGCGGCCACTTGCGGTCCAGTTAATGATTCATCAGGTGGCTCCCCGGAGTAGTTGGCGCAATTCAGGAATAAACGACTACCTGACTTAGGTCAGTTGGCGAAATAAGTGTCCGCCCTTTGAATGTACAACACTGTCATTATCGTTCAGTTAGTACTATTACACTGTTTTTCTTGTTTAAGTATTAAACTGACGTATAGGTTTATTCTTTTTTGTTCCACCTTCACATCCTAGGATGCTAGTTCTGGCTCGGAACTTTTGTACACATTACCTCAGGCTAGTCCTAGAGGGTTGCGGCATTATCACATGGATAAAATCTATTGCTAATTGGAAGCATTTGAACCTGAGACCTCGGGCACTGAAGCCCCGCTCTTTACCACTAGACTAGCTTGTCACCACAAATAGGTTTAGATATAACTGTAGTGCTAAAACAATTTCATTATAATTTAGATAGTAGTGACACAAAAATATGGCTCAATAATATTCCTTGTCTTGAAAAATAGCAAAACGATGTATGTGAAATGAGTTATGAAATTTGTTGTCACCAACAATATGTGCCCAAATCATGGGTCACGCTGTACTGGTTAGTTAACTAGATCAAAATAGGCAAACATCACACGGTTGTTGAAAGCTGTGTGGTTGCTGTCGTCAGCTCACGGTTGCTAATGATTGCGGTAAAATTGTGGTTGGTGCTTAGGCTGTATAGTTATCAGAAGTTTTTCCTCCTATTTCCCAACAACGGAAAACGATTTCGTAAGTAACCACAACTATATATTAATTTGTAGTTTGAGTTTGTTAAACTATTACGACAAAGTCTTTAACTATAAACGATATTTTGTCCTAGAACGATAGGGTCTAGCTTGAATAATCTTTCACATTACTTCAGGCTAGACCTAGAGGTTGGGGCATTACCACAGATAAAGCCCATTGGTGATTTGGTAGGATTTGAACCCGGGACCTCAGGGACCGAAGTCCAATGCTCTACCATTAGACCATGGGCTAGGGTCTCACAAAAGTATGACTTGTTTACAGAAATATTTCAGTACAAATCCACAAACTGAAATTTGCTTAGTCTGCAGGTTTGATGCGGCGAGGGTATTTTATCATGCACTGTTCATCTGATAGAGTATAGAACACTATCATATCAATCATACCAGAACGGTAACACAATCTTCATCATTCAATCGCAAGAAAAAATGACCTTGATTACATAAAACTATATTGGATTTAAAAAACACACATTTGATGTAATTAATACACAATAAGACTAGTTAAATAGGAGGAGTTATGAATATGGCCAAAAGAAAATCATATAGGGTGCTCGCATAATAAACCTAACAATCATAAGTGTGTCACTGCTTAGTTAAATCATAGACTAACCAACAAGGGAGTATGTTTTATCTATGGTTAAATTTACCCACTACCGTTGTTTAAACTAGCCATTTCAGTCCAGTTCTTAAAATTGAAAAGATTTACTTAACACTATTTTTTACCAATGAAGTTCAAGAGTTGAGAGAAGAGAAGTAAAATTGTAATGCTTCAAGCGTCAACTAATCAGCTGTTTAGACCAATTTAATTGTTAATGAGTGGTGCAATTAGTGGTTGGTAAAATGAGTCGTTGCATCACTGTCAGTGGCAATGAGAGGTTATAAACGAAAACATAACCTCTGTTAGAAGTTGTGAGTATTGATAGTAATTAAAAACGGTCGTAGGTAAGTAGAGTACGCAACTCGCGTAAAATCTTCAGCCCAGCAGTGGGCCATCTACAGTCGATGAAAGTACATAAATTCAATCCGACGGGGTGTCAGAAATTCTATAAATACACCACGAGGAATAACACATCTTGAATCCATGCTCAGCTTTAAAACAGACACCTAGACATTGCTATCTCAAACATAATGTTCATGAAACTAATTATAATTAAAAAGTAAATGCCACAAACCTTCCAGAACCACTATAACTAAATACTGTAACAACAAAATGTAAGAGTGGAACTTTGCAAGGTCACACTTAAACAGCTATACTTTGATGTTGTGGGTTTTAACATCAGAACTGAGTCTAGACTCTTACACATATTATAAATATTGCACTGCACTATTATTATATGATTTCCATTATAAACATTGTTTTTCCTTTTTCGTCGATCTCTTCACAGCGAGCAGTTAGTTGAACAGGGTGCAGCCCAAATTAGAAGTACCAAGACACACTGTTAGGACAATACAAAGTTCATAAGTTGGTAAAACTGTATTCTTTATTTTATTACCAAATCAGCTGATGTGAATTTCAGCATTGTTGTCTAAATGGTGTAGTGTAGAGAATTCATTTTGAATAAGACTCAACATGTTGTTTGTAGGCCTACGTTTTTGGGGTTTTACAAATCTGCTCAAATGAAGGTTGTATCAGATTTATGAAAAATAATTGAAGCTCGGTGAACCGAACGCCATACAGTTAAAGAGATACAAACATGGTACACAAAAAACATCATTGAAAACACATAAGAAACATGGAAAACATCATTGTTTTCCTTGATGCTGCTAGCTTCTGGTGCAGCTAAGAAGAGTAGACAAAAAAATGTATAATTATTCTAATTGCGAATAAGTTATCTACTGCAGTAGGTACAGTGTTTTGGAGGGAATTATCAGTCTCAAAATTTAATTATTAGGGTTTTAACCTTAAAATATTGAACAATCAATTGACTATCTCATAAGTAGTTAGAGCCTGCCAGAATTAATCTAATTTTTGCATCAACTTTGTCTATAAATTGGATGTGACAACGTTGTAGACAGCAATGAATTAATAAATAATTATTTGAACTATTTGAACACAACATTCATTTTTGTGTTATATAGGTGTATTTAATTCGATCATTCGTTCGTTTACCATAATTTTAATAACAAACTAAGCTTTGGTCCTTCGAGTAGGATTTTATTTTATTTGCTTGTAGCTATGATAATATTACGTATAGGCTTGATAATACTACGTATAGGCTTGATAATATTACGTATAGGAAAAACTATATACATTTTCAAACCATAAATACTAATAGGTAATCAATGAATTTCCTCTTATACATTTACAAAATTCCTTACAATATATAACATTGCAACAATGAAATCAAACTCTTAACTCCCTTCACACACATTTTTTTACTGTTATTTGTTCACGCACGTCCGTAATGTGTCCGGAAAAGGAAAATAGTTTGACGTGAAAATCGTCATGATTTCGGCAGCAATGCCATAATGCGTTATGTGCCGAGGGGGATAAGAAAGAGGCGCTACCAGAACGGATCTCAGTCTGTCAGTCTGTCAGCGACTCTCACGTCAGCTGGACCAAGGACTTAGGCCACGACAATGTGAGTATATGGTACTTGGTATCAAACAACATACTATTTAGTTATGTTAGTTGTTTTTGTAAACTTGGTTGGTTCTGGACGCGTCGGGTAGGTTCATGAATAAAAAACAATCCTCTTCAGAATTGTAAAAACTGAATTTTAAAAGCAGATACTATTGTTAACTGTGGCTTATATGACATTAGAATACCAGACACTAATTTATTTAAACAGGAACATATTGTATATGGACTTGTTACAATTAGTTCAAGACGTACACTTTTTTATTCGTTTATAACTGTTGGATTCATTTTGTTTTTATAATTTTCCAGCTATTCCCATGCAAACATAGATAGTTTTTTAATTATTTAAATTTAAAAAATAAATAAACTAATAAAATACACGCCTTTTTTAGATTTATAATACTAAAAACAAACATATTGAAAAATAAAAACAATTAATTAATTATCGAGTACTGATAATAATGTCATGCACTTTTAAAACGTCTTAAGGCTATGTTTAATTTTATTGGTTAGTTTTAATCATAATCTTATATGAAAATATAAAGATATTTTCTCGTGATACACATACTGGTTTGTAAAACCAATTTCAATTTGCAATATTATTTGTTTTTACTTAATAATTTTCTAATTTTCAAATAATTGAATTAATTACTTTATAGAAACTATTATGTGAGGTAATGTTATTGTTGAATGATAACAACAGTGTTGAAGGTTAAAACGAGAATATTGAAATTTACGCAAAAATATTCATAAAAAAATGCAAATATTTCATTCATTAACTAATCATAATCCTATCTCTTGTTTGCGCCGCATTTAAAGGTATTTAAAGAGCAAATATCTGAAGTCTGAAATTTATGTACAGTAACTTATAACAGTAATTTATTAACAGTAATTTATATTACTGTTTATTTTGTTTGGGCCTTACAAGGCAGAAAAATACTACACGATATATGTCAGCATAATCACTAACAAGACTACAAGATCGCGCCACTCATCCTACACCTATCTCCATCCATACTTGGCTTAAAATACCTACATTTGTATGGTCACCATTTGAATGACAAGTGTTAAAGTATGGTACGATTTATGATGAAGGGCTCCTTTGCTGACTGAAAAATTACAATTTATACATGTTGTTGGTTTGATTATGTGTTATTTTAATCTGGAAGAAGGTTTTGGAATTTCCTTCTTTATTTTTATTCGATTTTCATGTTTATTGTTATACAAATACAATTATAGTTTGTCCCTACCATTTCACTACGTTTAAATTGAGAATCCATTGAGATTTCCGTTTCCACCACTGGACCAATAAAGTTGTAATTTCGTACATATATCGAGAGATGTCACAGGCATTTGAATAGATATTTTTACCTAGGCTTTAAAACAGATGTAGAAAGTTCTGAAGGGTGTCTTTTGCAATTAGGCTAAAGATTAAAAGGTATCCGTACCAACTAAAAAATGACTGTAATGCTTACATTTACTTTGTTTACGATGATTGGTTTCAACATTTTTAAAACGTTTTTATTAGCTCGCTTTCTTGTACGGTACAAATTTTGCAATCAATTTTAAACTAACTTCCCGATGAGCTCTAGACTTGAAACTTACAACATAGCTCACAAATGGATGACATTGCAATACTATATCATTTTATTTTCATATTTTCCTTGTGCTAAACCCCATGGTCTTCCACATTTTCCATGTTTACATTTGAAAGCATGTAAATATTTGAATTAAAGTCAGCAATAAATACTTAAATTTGACAGTTCGAAGAGCAAGTTAAGAGATACAGGTTCTGCTTCCGAGATATTCTAAAATATAAAACAAGCATTTCTAAGTAAAGATAAAACATCTTATTACAGATAATAAGGTTTTTGTTATGTATTAACAGGCCATATACAATAGATTTAACATATTTACACATTCAAGACTAAAAAGTATAAAATAATTTATAAATATGTGGAGAGAATAAATACTTGTAAGATTTAAAACGAAAAACTTGGGGCACATTACATCATTGTTTCATTGTTGTTGTTTGGTATAAGATTATTCATTTATTTCAAACAATGAACTTATACAAACTTTATAAGTGAACTATACACATGAAAAGTCATCTATTAAGGGATGTTTAATTTATGTTGTTAAATATTTAAGTGTGAATATCTGTTTTTATAAAATTAAGGTCTGCTGTTGTCTATTGATTGTTATTTAATGCAAATACTGTAATGATTTAATTTTTAACATTTAAAGTTTTCTGTTGAATTTAGATCAATTTAGTATGATGTTAAATAAAACAATAATTATCTTTCGTTACATTAGGTCAAATTTAAACTTGCTATAAAAAATATACCCACAGTCCACAGTTTTTAATATATTTTATTTTTAACATATGATTTAAAAATAAGAAGCCTATATAAATATATCTATATTTTCGTCTTTTTAGTTTTAGTTTTTTTTTTTTACTTGAATAGTAAACTGATGGTTTTATATCTTTAAAAGATGGTTAATTAAACCTTTGTTAACTTGACTTACCGTCTATTAAACTCTAGGCTGATTCTATAATTAATTTGAGTAGTATTTTTTTCATAGTTCATTTCATTTTTATTCTATCACAAAAATTTATAAAACTGGAATGGTTAAAAATTTAAAATTATTTATTTTATTCAATACTTTGCAGATCGATTTTTTATCTAAAAATGGTTTTACAGCTAAAATCAACGAAATTAAAATTGAATTTTTGCGGCACCTCAAGGTATTATTTTGCTAATTTTATATATTTTTCAAACGAATATTTGTCTACCCAGTCAATTCCCTATTGCAAACCCCACATGGTGGCCCGAACTGTTTCATGCAATTCGAGGTAGATTTTGCAATTTAGCAATCATCATAAACCAACATAAACATTCTCCTGAAATGGGAATTGTGCAACGGATGGTATTGCCATTGGAAAGATTAGGTCGGCTGAAGGTTGTGAGTGGCGATTGTAGAAATTGTGATCTGTTTTGGTATTTGAAAATAAATAATCAACACTACGTATACAATTGGTATAATTCGATATTCTAAACTGTTATAAACCAACAGTTCAACAATGTAAATTGTAGTTGGTTATGACATAATTTAACCATAGACAAAAAGAATCAAATATAGACTGTCAGCCGTGCTGCGGTTACCATGGCTACCATAGGTTCTGGCGCACAACGCTGATAGCGCCGTGTAGATACGTAGCGCGTACGCCGTAACTACATGACGCTCCCAGCTGTGTACGCCAGAACCTATGGTAATTGCAGCACAGCTGACGTTTTTGATTTCTTTTTGTCTATGATTTAACTTAAGAATACAATAGTTTGATTAACCTTTATTTTCGATCACTTTAAATTCAGTTATTTCACTTGAAATTACAGGTTTTGCTGTGACTAAGGTAAACTATTGTTTGCGTTTCAAAATTCTGGTATAAACAACGAGATTATGATAGTTCAAATAGATGTTTTTTTATTATATTGTTATTGTTATTGTTTGTTTGTTTTTGTTAAAACAAGCGAAATCTTCTGAGGGACGATGTCATATGTTAGGCCAAAAATAGGTTTTTAATTGTTATACCGTTATTGTTTGTTTATGGTCATGTTGGCATGATTCAAGTGTTTGAAATAGAGTATGGTTCTTTAGCAAGAAGTTTTATGGTTTCATTTAATTAGTAATTAGCCTGTGATAAGATGTAATTGAAATCTCAAACCTCTTTAAGCTTAGGCCTAAATAAATCCAAAACATGTTCACAAATTGAGAATGGAGCACCTCCGCTGACATTCTCTATGAATCACTTGATGAATTGTATTTTAAAGCGGAAGCAATTAAGTCATACACTAATATGTTCTACAAACAATTTAATTATTCGCCTAATCGTCAAGAAACTGTTTACAAAATTGTCTAGGTCCATTTGAAGGTCGAAAGTAGAGTAAGGTCGTCACCTTAAGCTTAATCACCTGAATTAATATTGTTGTTAAAGCAAACTAGAGACTGAAGTAGCATATACTTCCGATATCGAATAGATTGCTGGAGCGTAAGTACCTAAGTTATTATTTTTAATCAAATTAGTTAAATCTTTAATTAAATTGTTCATGTTAATGTTTTTTTTTAAATGGTCCAATCTCGTTTCAGAAAATATGCCATGTAGCCTAATAATTTTTTCCAATTAAATGTTGAAAGTACTCTGTAGCTGGAACCCCTCAACCGTATTTTTCCTCAATTGCTTGGTAAAAAGTATATCCACCAAGAAAATTTTGTTATCTTCATATAGTTTTAAAATATTATCATACAAGTTTTCGTTCAAGATCTTAAAATAATGTCAACTCTATCGATTAACCTAGAACGAATGGTGTACTCCAAACCTCTAAGTCACAATAACACAAAGGAAATAGTTAAATTTCCATTGGTAATTTTTGGGATTCGAACCTTTGTTAGTCCCTAGACAGAACACCCGCTGTATAACGACTAGACGACCTAATTATAGACCCGTGCATAATTAGACCAAGCTAATGGTGGTCTGTGAAGGGCTTTGACGAGGGACTTTTTATCCAATGACGTCTTGCAACTATGACGTAATGAGATTATACATGTGGTTGGAATGGACTGAGATCTGGGATAATTGAGTCTATGATTGAGACATTTAAACGCATTCACTGTGCGCAGCTCCAGTGACCAATGGGGGGGGGTCACATGTATGAGTCAGCAGTGTGCGGCGTTGTTCCGAAATGTGTTACTCCGAAAAGCACTTCGAAATTATGCGCATACAATCCAATGATTCGGGGGAGCGAGCTGGTGTAGTAGTGGTTGCGGGACTTCAGTCCCTGAGGTCCCGGGTTCGATCCCCACCAAGTCACCAATGGATTTTATCTAAGTGATGATGCCTCAACCCCTAGGTCTAGCCTGAAGTAATATGAAAAACAATCCCAGGCTCGTGCATAGCTTCCTAGGAAAAAAATCCAATGATTCGAAAATCTATTTCGTAGTTATCCCTTTTGAAACGGTTTGTGGATATGCGGGACTAGGGTATTGAAATTAAATGGTGACCGAGCTTTGGTTGAGGTATATTTATTTTACCGTTGATTCCAGACTCTTTTAAATATCTACGTCTACAGAATACAAAAAAAATTTTAATTAATAATGAAAAAATCGTCAAAATTCTAAAACACATATTTCACTTTTTCACAAAAAAACTCCATTCGTAGGCCTATTTTGTTTTTCTACGCTTGTACACATTATTTAACACATAAATAAATACGCGGAAGACATCTACGTAAAGCGCTTACAGACATAAACACATTTTAAATCGTATTCATCCGATCAACAGGTATGTTTATTGAAGAATATTTAATCTTAACAGGTAATCTACGTTGATGAATAGATCAATCAACCTCTATACTCTGATCAAACATTGCAAATAGGAAGTGTGTATCAAGTGCCGTTGGCAGCCTCTATTGTGCGTGTTGCGCAATGGTTGCTCAGTTGCGTCACTGATGGTTCGGTTTAGGAGACTGCTTGCTCATAGTCGTAAAGTGGCGCAAGCAAGATGTAGTGCGAGCGTATAGCAAGTCACGGTGCATGTAGCCAGAAGTAGATAACATTAGATAGAAATGGATAAAAATCACCATGGACATTGTTGGTGTCGTCTGATCCTATGGGAATTCTAGGATAGTGTTGAATAAATTACCACATGTTTTATACTGGAGTGGTGGAGGGAAAGGATCTCTAATTATAGTTATCCTATAAAATCCTATTAACCTTTTTGCGAATCTCCCCATAGGAAAGTAGTTCTATACCGTAGGTGGGCACGGTAGGAACTAGACCCGGGACCTATAAATTGTTTATGTCCCCATAGGCCAAACACACTATTCGTTCAAATACCTTTTTATGGTTGAATAAATTTGGCAAAGTAATTTATTTTATCCTATAATATTAACCTTTGGTAAAAACACGCCCTTTTTACCCAGGCAAACAAGTCGTTATATGTAATGCTATTTAAATGTGGGAAAATATGTCTTGTCTATTGAAATATTATGGTTAAATCCAAAAATAGACAGACAATTCGCTTAGTCTGCAGGTCTGTCTCGGCGGGAATTTCGTTTCTTAATTGTAGGTCTACATTCAGCTTAAAGTGGGAATTGCTAAGTGACAGCATAGGTAAACCCGATTGGTGAGACAGAATTTGGGCGAAGTTCTGCAGGAGGCGGTGATATCTGACTAATAAGTAAAAAAAAACTATGGACATTATAGATTAAAATTTTTATATCAACAATATATTTGATTTTTGTATTTAAATCTTTGCTACATAATTGAAGACGAATATTTTGCACATCCACTTTCCTCACGAAGACAATTAATTGTACAACACTTTGTTTTGTTTTGCAGATGGTCAAGGAAGCTGAGTACTCGTGTCCTCTCAGCAAGGATACCAAGGATCTCGCAGCCAAGGAGCTGAGAGAGGACGAGGCGACGAGAGACAATGCTTTGCAGCACATGAAGAAGTGGGTCCAGGACAACCCAAAGATTGAGTACTGCAGAACAGGTAACTGAGACTATTCTACCATAAAATCGTGTTATTTTAGCTTTCGAGTTCTCAGATAAGGGGGGGGGGGGGGTTTCTGTTGATCGACAACCTATTCGAGCTTTCAGAAGAAGGTCTGATCAGTATTCTCATTTCTTATCACCATAGTTCTCAGAATCAATAGTATTCCTTTTATCTACTACTGTGGTTCTATTTTTCATGACAGTTTCTAACCCGTATTCTGTTTTCTTATCAGCATAGTTCGAGTCCTTATAAGAGGTTCTGATCAGTATTCTGATCATCTACACCATATTTTCAGTTCTTAGATGCAAAATTGTGATCGGGTGTTGCGTGAACGTTGGTGATAATTTCCTTCTCTTCATGTTTGGCGAGTGAAGAATGAACTAAAGTGATCCGAGTAACTTTGTTATCGACTAAGACTTTTATCCCAACCCATTTGAAAGCCGTATACATAACAAAATGTTATTAGATTATGGTATGTTGGGTTCAGTTTCGAACAATTTAATACCCAACCTAAAGTCTGTATGATGAAACCTGTCTCCTGACCCTTCGTTTACCTGGGACTGACGACTGGGTCAGAAGACAGGTTCCACCATTCAGACTATCATATTTATAATATAGTCAAATCTGCGACATGTTGATTGGAAGGCGAGCTTGTTGTTTCGTGATATTCCAGTCCAGGAAGCCGAAACTCCACTGTTCTAGGACCATTGTAACCACTCAAATTCGCTATGCTGTATCCCAATACCAGATAGAAACAGCAATGTTAGTAATACTCGTTCAATCAATATTATCTTACCTATACTCTTCACATCTTGACACTTCTTGACGTTGCAGATCCCTGTTATCTACTGAGGTTCTTGAGAGCAAAGAAGTTCAGCTTGCCCATGGCTCAAGAGGCTATGGAGAGATACCTTCTACTCAGGCAAACCTATGACTTCGCCTTCCAAAACATGGACTGTCTACTGCCAAACATGGAAACACTCTTCAGTTTAGGGTTGGTATCCCAATGCTTTTAATATACATCAAAACTGCAATTTTTTAAATTAAAATAATATTTTGACTGAACAACTAATTGTAGTGAAATTTTTATGAAGGATTACCAAAGAGCTTCATCAGCAATATACGTTTTATGAATGAATTCGGATGGACTTCCGTATCTTTTGGCCCAAACAACCGAATGAAAATATCAATAGATATATCGATTATTCGATATATCGTTTGGTTAGTTAGGCAATGTTAACCTAACCTAATTAACCAAACGATATATCGAATGAAACAATCGAACAATCGATATTTTCATTCGGTTGTTTGTGCCAACAGATACGGAAGTCTACCCATGAATGCCTCGAAGTAATATGCAATGAGAATTAGCACAATATTAAGAAATCTTTGAACGGCTGCCATTTTCGACTCAGTTGTTCTTTTAAGGTCAAATTTGCGGAATTATATTTTACCAAGAAAGACCTTTAACTTCATTGGCTTACGTTTAAGATTGTCTTCTGTCAATTAAAGGGCCGTCTCCCACTTACGGTAGCACATACGTAACAGTTTTAAAAGAGTAGTATGTTTTAAACATACGTATTTTTTAAAATATTATGACCAGTAACTTCGTTCCAAGCTTGGTAGCTCTATCCTGATTATGTTTTCCAAATATTTAACTGTCCCGGTACTTTTTCCTAACCGACCAACTTGGTGTTTTTTTAAGTACGCTGCGAGGCTGTGAGTGGAATAAATTATGATCGACTTTGCTGAATTTCGTAGGGTATTAAAATATAATGCATATGGACACTTTTACTGCAATTTCTGGCAAAAGTAAATTACTTTCGCAAAAGTTAGTTTGAGACCGTAAAGTTTAAGTTTAAAGCCTGGCAAAGTTCTATTATGCACGTGTTCTCAAAAAGAACAAGAATTGGTCAAGACATTGATTTAATTTTGAAATTAATTAAACCCATGCGAATATTATGTAAAGTATACAAAAAATACAAAATGAAGATAGAGATCAAATTACTCTTTTCTAAGTCAAATAATCGTGTTACAGCTACATATTTGCAGCCCCTGGAAGAGACAAGTTAGGACGTCGCTGGATCATTGCTAGACCAGGTAAAATAAAATAATAATACTAAGGACAAAAAATGTATATTGCTTTTTCCTGCATCCTAAGGTATCGCTTGAGTTAAATTTTACTTTTTTACATTTCAAACTTAAATAACAACCAGCGATCCACAACACCGACCTACAATTCATTGGTTGCTTAGCTAAATAGTTACTTGTGTAAACTAGTGTTGAATTCATTTTGCATTTAGTTTTTCCTACAGTTGCTATCTAGCATAAATAATTAGTCTTCCAAACACTATACAACACGTTTTTATGTTTTTTTATAGTCAATGGTTAAACCCAAGCGTGTTGGGAAATGGGAAACCAGCTGATGGAGTAGTATCTTTAAGTGTTGCCAACTTATTTTCAAGCGTACACGTATTACGTGCCTAAGGCACACTGTTTTGTGTTGTTTGGTTGGAATACAGAAGTGTGACAAAAAATAAGTGCGGCAAAAGTAAAGTGCAGCAATTAGCTACTCGGCGTGCTATCGGTGCAAATATGCCCACTTTGTCAGGTAACTGTAGGAAAATGTTTTACATACATCTGAAAATGTTTTACATCTGACATAAGAATACAAATTTAGTTAGGCCTACAATAAAAGTCTCAATAACCTCCACACCTTCTGCAGGTGTTTTTGACCCACACAAGTTCACCAACGCGGACATGTGTCGTATCCACGGCATCACGTACGAGGCGTTGATGGAAGATGAGGAATCGCAGGTCCGAGGGTTCGTACACTTCGCTGACGGAGCTGGAGTCACATTTCCCCATCTGACGCTGTTCACACCAAAGGAGGCAGTGCGCATCGTGAAAAACGGAGAAGTATGTCTGAATTCTGTCTTTCTTGTTTACCCAGGGCAAAACATTGCAAAAAGAAATCGTTTGTAATAGCAGTTCCAAGAACTTGAATTATTGTATTAGGTTTGCCTTTTTTTGTTGCCTGAGTTGTTTCTATTAGGAAGTCATCTTCAGGTTTTCACTAAAACTATAATACTGCATTTACAAACATATTTACACACGCACGGTCATATTGTGGGGTCGCCGGAATTTTACCCCCTGGGCAAAGCTGACGTCACTATGACGTAGTAACCTGAGTGGCCAAAAGTTTGTTCGCGGCCGGAATTTTACCCCCGCGGATTTCGAAGTCTAATGAAAATAGTCAGAGCGTGATCAATTCAATTAGCGATAAAAACCGGAATTTTACCTTCTGTCCATATAACTAGTGTTTAGACAACTGAAATGTACGGGCCGGATTTTTACCCCCCGGATTTTTACCCCCCGGAATTTTACCCCCGGAATTTTACCCCTTGGCCGATTTTAGAAATTGAATGATTGGTTTTCTTATTTCTGTTTTTAATTAATTGTAAACATTTCATTATTTAGTGGCCTATCTTTATTTATTTATTTTGTAATCTCAACTAAGTCAAACGAATTCGCTGTTTAATTTTGATGTTCGGGATTTGCCTTTGGGGCAAACTGTTGGTTAATAAGTATGTAAATAAGTAATAGGCCATGTTAATATGTATGAAAAACAATGTATTTAGTTTCAGTTGTACAACAACCTTTTTGTTTCTTCAGGCACAAACCATGTGCTATTTATAGTTTGTAATGATAAAGATAACCTATATTAAGAAAGGCTACTTAATAATAAAATGTTTACTATTAAATTAAAACAGAATGAAGATAATTAATCATTCTCACTAATTGTTATATCTAGCCAGGGGATAAAATTCCGGGGGTAAAATTCCGGGGGGTAAAATTCCGGGGGTAAAATTCCGGGGGTAAAAATCCGGGGTAAAATTCCGGGGGGTAAAAATCCGGGCCGTACACTCTAGGTTTTTATAATTTGATGTGTTCTGATTAAATTCACAACCGTGAAAATATATGTTTAATTCCGCGTTTAATCCATCGAGCTGATGTCGCGAAACTCAAAAGTTCGCGGCCGGAATTTTACCCCCTGGTTTGTGACGTCACGTTTGCCCAGGGGGTAAAATTCCAGGGGGATAAAAATCCGCTACCCCACCATGTGATGTCAGAAGACCAGAAGACTCCTGAAGATGCCACACAGGCGAAATGCATGGATGGCTGAAGAGGACAAAGTCCTAAAACAGCCTCAGTCTAGTAGGGTTTCAGCCATCGAAGTACATATGTGTTATATACTTCGATGGTTTCAGCTCACTGGACTGAAATCATGACGAACGCATGCATGGCGATATAAAGATCTTACCTACAAAAACTCTGGCAACAAAAACGGTAAACCTAGCATAAAAAACTTTGGATAGTCACATTCGTTAACAACGAAACTGGTTTGACTTTGGGATTCCAGGGCTCTAGAAGTAAGAAAGGTTTAACATTAATGTGGGTAAAGAGTACTCATGATGTTCTTGGTCAGGAATTCTTTTGATATTTTGTATTTTAATTTTGAGTAGGCCTATTATTTCCGCATTACTACACAAGAGGTTGAGCTATCTTTTTATGTTTAAGTAATCCTCAAGTCGTCAATTTAGCTACCAGTTCAACGTCTATGACGTTGTGTCTATGAGCTGGCAGACGTCAAAACCGCCACTCATAGGAGGTTGTTATGAGTCTTAACACATACAGTTACACACAAACATAATCACTAACACGTGACTGGATATGTTATAGGTTTTTTTAAGACACATAACGACCTCTTAAAAGTTCTACTCTTAAATGCACAAAATAATTTGCACCCCTGTAGTGCAAACGGTGAACTTTAGTTATTTATCTATGAATCTACTACTCTGCTATTTAAAACGTTATCTAGATTTAATGACACTGGTTTTATTCTTGAAAATCCAGTGGATTAATAGTGTTTATTATCTTAGAAGTCCTGTTTCTTTTATTTTTTGTATCATTAAAAAGCTATTAACAAAACCCTCTGAAATATGAAAATACAAAGGTACAAAGGGTCTCTTAAATTTAATGATGTCAGGTATTCAGGAAAACGTTAATGGAAAAAGGGTACTAATTCGCAAAAACCCTGTAATAATACTTAATAAACGTTAAATTAATTTATAATTTATGTTCTAAACGGGTACTTTAAGATTTGCTTAATGTATTAAATGGAAACCTAAATATTATCTCGTATGCACTAAGAATGCTACAAGAAAAGCATTCCTAGTTACTGTATGCAAACTTTTTCAGAGAACATTGCCAATGAGACACAAAGAAGTTTACGGAATCAACGTCCACCCTTCAGTTAAATACGCTCTCGACTGGGGTATGGGGCTTATTACTGAGAAGATTAAAAAACGTGTTAAGGTGAGTTACAACCATAGACAAATAGAATAAATATAGACCGACCGCGTCAGCTGTGCTGCGGTTAGCATAAAACTGGCGTCCACCGCTAGGTTTGCCGTGTAGTAATGGCGCACACCGCTGCAGCTCTGCTGGTCACATTCGGCTCCTGCGCTCCTCACCTGCAGCGGTGTGCACTCCTAGTGGTGGGTGCCGGAACCTTCCTTTGACAGTCTATATTTTATTCTGTTTGTCTATGGTTACAACATAGACGGATAGATTTGTCTTTTTCTACAACGATTTACATTACGTATTGTAAAAGTGAATATGAGATTGTTTGTTCTAATTGCTAAAGTCTTGATTTTTCAGCAAAATATTAATTTAAAAACGCCATAAAAGGGTTATTTGTATACACCTACTAGAGTTTTCAGTTAAAATCAAAACTAGATGCAAGTGTCGAGCTGGTTTATATGTGACATTTGTATTCTTTACTAGCAGAGTACCCGTCCTTCGTACGGAGTTGGCATAAAATGTTCTGAATTAGTGTACAATCAAAAGTTTTATACCATAAAAATGTCTTATGAAAATTTCAAGAATACTCCTTCTGAAGGTAATAATAATCAAAACATGTTGTTCGTTTTCAGATCTTTACAAATCTGGAGGAAGCAAAGAAAAATATGGACACTTCAATGCTTCCCAAAGAATATGGAGGCTCAATGCCAATGGAGGAAATGATAGGTAAGTTATTTTGGGGAAATATTTTGAGATGAGTATGACGTAATATTTGGAATGTATTGATTTACTATATCAATTGGTTTCGATCAATAAGTACTTGAGCTCAACTCAAGTGTAAAAATAAAACCAGTTAATGGTCTTAAAAAAAATACTTGCAAGAAATATAAATGCAATAATCTTGAAGATTTTAAATCATTTGTCCTACAGTTACTTGACAAAGTGGACTTTCTTGCACTGATAATAGCACGAAAAGTAGCTGATTTCTGTTTTTACTTACTTTCCCGCACTCATTTAACTTTGTCCCACGCCATTTACTTTCCCGCACTCCAGTGTTTCAACCAAAAAAAATAATAATATACTTGTATTGAGCACGTAATAGGGTATGCTTGAAAACAAGTTGGCAACTCTGCTTAATCGATCAGCTGGTGCAGTGTATATTTGTCATTCCATTTGGCCATTGATAACCGACTTAACCTATTGTTGTGAGTTTCCACAATTTTGTTTAGGTTTTGATTTTTTTAGACTAATTCAGGCTTGAATTTGTTAATTTGAGGAACTGTATAGTACAATCGATGTATAATACTCTACATTCTAGTTATTATACATCGATGTATAGTACAAGCTAACCAGGATATACATACAATTACCCATTTATGCTTTTTAGTATCTAAAGGAAAATGTAATGTATAACATGCCCCTACATATATTGTTATACAAATGCAGGTGGCAATTAAGTCTTAGGAAGACTTTATAACTTTAAAACGAAAAGAGATATCACAATATTAAATTTGTTTCATCATTACTGGTAATATTAAGTTACTTTTTTGTGTACATGGTGATCAGACGTCACCTATGGGGGACGGCCTAAGATGAAAGAAAATCTTAATACCGCCGCAGCAAACCTGCAGACTTAGCGAATTTCCATTTGCTTGATTGGATTTAAACTAAAATGACTCCTTAAAAATATCACATTTATTCCCTATTTAAACAGAATTAGTTTAATGAGTACTTGGGTTTGCTGCAACAGGGAGGGTAAAAAAGTTTTTTTTTATGTAAAATGTTAAAAGGTACTGTGGATTAGTAAGAAATTAATGTATTTCCCAAATTTGATGAAAATATGTTCACAAGCAAACTACAACAGTTGACTTATTCTCCATAAGAATAACATGGGAATTTTAAAATTACAACTTTTTTGAATTTTCTCCATAGCAATTAGGTGCATAATAACGCTTCAATATACAAAATTATTTGTTTTTTTAAGCTCTACAAAATGGTTTAAAAAGAAATTATGAAATTTTGTGTTTTTAGGGTCAAAAATAGGAAAAACCTATTTTTACCCCATAAAACCCCCCATAAACCCGGGTTCCCATAGTCCGATCATGCTGGTTTGCGAACTCATTCAAGTTTATCTCGCCTTACACATTCAAACCAAATTGTATCAAAATCGGACAAAAATTACTCAAGTTATCGTGCGGATGGACACACATATATATATAATGTAAATGAATGCTGTCAAATGTTGAATGCATAATGTTGTATAAACCCTCTAACTACTAAACAAACTTTTCTGTCTATTCAAATATAGTAAAGATGTGGAATGTTGTTGTAGCCCATCAACTGCTGAATATAATTGTGCTGTAAATTTGGCAAAATGTTGAATATTGAATGTTGAGGAGACGTTGTGACAGGGTAGGTTGCGCCACTCTAGGCGCCCACCGGGTGTCCATGGGCAAGGGGTTGCGGTTGTGGAAAATGTCAGTGAAGAAACTTATCTATATATAGATATATAAAAATTTAAGCGAATGGTGTTTTTGGCCTCTGGGGACATCAAAATGAAAAAGTAAATCGGTCCCGGGCCTAGGTCTTACCATGAGACCTACGGTAATAGCTACTTCCCTATAGGGAAATTCGCTAAAAGGAAGCAATGGAAACGCACATCAAATTAAAGACCTTTATTAGTAGAATACAATGCCGCAAATTTAAACTCAAAAATACACTCCAGTAAAAAATGGCAGCAAGGATTTAAAATGGCATATTCAACAAATTTTTTAACAGCTGCCATTTTTTATTGTCCGATTGAGTACAGGATGTAGCATTGTTTTTAGTTCAACAATACCTTTAATTTTATGTACATATCAACCTATGCTTACCTTTAAGATTTTCAATCCGTCCCCCATAAGTGACATTCGATCACCATGTACACAAACATGTAGCTTACCTACCAGTAATGATTCGCAAAATAATGTTGTAGCATCTCTTTTCGTTTTTAAGTTATAAAGTCGTCCTAATACTTAATTGTCACCCTGTATGTATAACAATTTTGCGCACTCGTTACAAAATAAGTATTTTTTAAAGGTATGCAATCTATTTCTGAATCTTTTACAGCTCTGTGGAAAGAAGAACTTTTAGCATCTCGAGATCGCATTTTGGGCCATGATAAGATGAAAGTTCGATTAGAACTTTTCAGTGAAGGAGCGAGGTAAGATGTGATAATTATTATAAATTATGATCGATGGTACTGTCTTTTTCAATAAATCTTGACGAAAATATTTTTTAGCGATGTACTAGATAAAACAATTACTTCAATTCTATCCTTGTCATAAAATTTGAACTCACTCTAAATAATTCACATTTTTTATACTAGAAAATATTTGTACATACACCCTACGTAGAGTTCATGCCTGCTACGATTCTACAAGATTACAATTCCAAAAATTATGAAAACATGCAGAAACCCCTGTAAATAAATGTGAACAGAAGTTTGTACTTCATAATAATTAAACTCAAGTACCATCTTTTGGCTAATCTGGAAGTTTTAAAAACTTAAATTTTTTTAATTGTATTAAAGTTTGTAATATTTTATTTGGGCAGGGCTGGAGCAGTATCGGCTCTCCGTAACAACAGTTGTGGACCTCAAAGTGATATCTTGGCTGGAAGCTTCCGTAAACTACAAGTGGACTAACGATATCAACTCAGCGCCTTGTTCTTCTGTAGATAACATGTATAGTTAACTGTATACCTTAAACTGTTAAGTAACTTGTGCTTTAAAAACAACTGTTCCTGTAGTTTGAAAGAAATGCGGACAATAAGTGTACATTTTAAAATTTTTTAAATTAGTTAAATATTATTCCTAAACAGAGTACTGATGAAAAATTAAATTGAAACTGAATTCTTATAAAATTGGGATACTCACGGAGTTTGTTTATTATGAAAAAGTATTTTTAAGACACACTTTTATCAACTTACTTTATTTTTAGTACCTGGGACCGAGCTTTGCTCGAGGAAAATCGTTAGTTTACTCTGAAAGCAGTCTTAGGATTGCAGATACATTAATCCATTCCCATAATTGATATCGTAAGATCTAACAAAAAAAACTATAAAACCACAATATGTTTGTGTAAAAAATATTGGTCTAAATACTACTCAAAAATAACTTAAGGCCTACACCTTGAAATTACTTTGTATTAATCCCTGAGCATATTTACAAAATACTACCTTATGAAAAAGTTAATTTAAATACTGAATATTTTGAATATTTTGTTTACAGTATTTTCAATTGGTATGTGTTCAATTTGAGGATTACTCAGAAGAGCATGCAAATAAAGGCGGGCTAATTTTTTAGATTCTTTCCGCTTTATATATGGTGTTTCCAAAAGTTGTATTTCAAATGTTAGAATTAGAATACTTTAATGTGATCCAAGGTTGCACAGTAGTATTAGAATTAATTGTTAGATTAGTCTTTTTTACTTTTGTACACAATACTTTAGTTTAGGAAAATGGATAGATGGGGGTGATGGATCGATTTGTCGTTGGTTTTGGAGTGTAGGGTTTTAGAAGAGATCAGTAGATTTAGAGAGTCTTCTGATGGAGCACTTTCTGTAGTTGGGCAAATGTTTGCAATTTATTAAAATAAACTGCTTACTTTTTTAATAACTTATTCCATGTACAAAACAACAAACAATGTGTATAAACATCAAATGATAACCAAAAAAACAGTTTTTTTTTTAAATTGAGTAGGTTTTTCTTTTTTTACACATTACTTACAACATGTTATGTTACATTAGACAATACATAATGTTACATTAGACTCACATAATCTTTAACTAGATTTAGAGTGACTCTTTGATTAAGGTCTAGCTGTTATGTTTTTGTTCTTTATTCTTTTATTACTAGTTGCAGTTTCGTTCGATTTTGAGCAACGGGTTACCTAGTAATTTTAGTTATATGATACTGTAGTGTGATATAAATTTTAAACTCTTATCCAATTTATGTTCCCATACAGTAAAAGTTGGACTTTAAAAAGATTAAAAAATATAGTTACCTTGTATAATACCTTGTATTTATTTGACAAATACTTTACAACTGACGTCTTCTTACAAACAAATATATCTTACACTAACAATCTACTTAAGTAGGTTTAAGAAGAAGATATTTGGCTATTTAAGTTTTATGTACAGGGATAAAGTTTGAACCTCAAAATGAATAAGTCAGTTATGACAATATTTATTAAAGGGTCCAGACATTAAAGATGTTATGGCGGATTGGTTGAACAGCAGGCTTAACTTATGGATACAAATAACAGGTAAAGAATAAATAAAAACATGAAACAGAATTTTGAAACTGCTAGTATTTGTTCGTCTGTTGTGGGCTTTCAACAGCAAGCCTACAATGATAAAAATACTCTTACCTTAATAAGGAATAAGTAGTTACAAATTGCATTGTTTCGTGAGTTTTCTTTATTTCTTGTAGGACCTACTTTCTACTATTTTTCCAGTAAGGTAAGCTCACTGTTCAACCGATGCACCATAAAATCTATGAGATACAAAACACAACATTAATGTTTTGTCATAGTTTACAACCTAGGGAGTACAGTGTTCCTTTACAAAATTCAGACGATAACCAATGGATAAAAGTTTACAATGTTTGTTTACACAATAAAGGCTACACAGCTGAAAAGTCCCATCCAAACACAGTTTCGCTTTCAAAAACATTTGTCTGCAAAGATATTTAAGAAACCGTATAAAAAACTTTATCCGACTATAACTATGGATAAAAGTTCATAATGATCATACATACACAGCAACGGTTACACAGCTGATAAGTCCCATGACCTTTTCCCACACATTTTCACTTTGAAACACATTTGTCTGCAAAGATATTTTTTAAGAGATGGTAAAAAAGACTTTACAAAGATCTCATGTTGAGAAATCGTTGGATCAAGGCCTACACTCTTCATGGTACGGCTCCAGCGTACGCAGGTCTCGACAGGTAGGAGGAAGGGAGCTTTGGAGGTAGTTACCACAACGCTTGCACGGCTCACTGAATAAGTTGTTGTAACTGTGAAGCCATGTCTGAAATACACAGATAAATTAATACCAACTAGGCTATAGTAAAGTGAACGTCCTTGTAACCACATATCCATTTCACAAAGTTTCCAACGTCTATCTAATATCTAAGACACAGTCGTGGTTAAGCGTTCCCAGCGTACAGGTAAAGTAGGGTAACCTTGAAAACGCCACACGTTAAAATATTGGTGTGGTGAATTGTCGGGAATAGAGAACATTGGTCTGTTATTTTTTATCTTTAACCTGAAATGGACGTTTGATGACAAAGAAGTTTTACTTATTTCAACAAGGTGAGTGGTGCACAAACATACTCATCGAACTAGATTAATGGACCTCACCCAAAAAACATAGATTAAAAATATAACCTTTCTTCAGATATAAGGTATCCTACACCAACAGAAAAATAATGCCAACCTAAAAACTTTGGATTATGCAACGAAGAACCGCTAGATTAGTATATTTTCCTAGTAAATACTTCTAAATCAAATTTTAAACAATAAAAATACTTACAATGAATGACCTCACTCCAAATTCAGGCACATTTGGAGAGTAGAAATGTAACATAGCTGCATGTGTGTTTTCAGTCAGTTTGCGGAAAACCTGAAAAAGTAAATACACATAGTTAAATAAAATGAATGAGTAATGATGGTGATTTCATTGCTAATAACAATACAAAATAACATTTAATTTGCCTCTTTTTTCTCAAGGGTCTTATAGTCTAAAGTAAGCTCTGCAAAATTTATTCACAGCCAAACTGTCCCCCAGCATAACAATGTAGTTTTTATTGTAAAAATAGTAAAATACATAACAAAGCACACTAATGTTGATCTAATTGTTTAAATTCAGAAAACATTTATTGATTATTTTAAGAATTAAATTTGATATATTCTACAATAATTTTATTTGGTATACTGCAGCAAAAACAGCCGTTTTAGCGAATTTCCCATATAGGGAATAAGCTATTACCGTAGGTCTCATGGTAAGACCTAGACCCGGGACCGATTTACTTTTTCGTTTTGAGGTCCCCAGAGGCCAAAAACACCATCCGTTCAAATTCATATATATATATATATATATTTATATATATATATATATATATATATATATATACACGGCCGCGCCCGGGAAGCCAGTCACATAAAATATACACTGGAAGTCAGTCAGTTGCACCCCCCAATATATTTCAAGACTATGATATATATATAATATATATTGGTAAATATCTTAAGCCTAGACATATCTGAACGTATATATCTCTTTTTTTCTAAAAAATACTAAAATATAATTACGTAAAAAATGCTATGCTAATGCAGTCACCACCGCATTTGCATGGGAAAGCCAGTCACGTAAAATTTGTGCTGCTAAGCCAGTCACTATATATTTTACCGCATACCACTGGAATCCAGTCACTGAAAATCCACCGGGTATCCTGTCACTTCAGTCACTTTCACCCCTGCCCTTCTACTTTGTGATATTTATTTGTTCTACAAGCTTGAAAATTCGCACCTCAAACAAACGGATTATGCTTCAGGCATTGAGCACTCTCATAACCCATCTTTCGCACTTCATTTTAATTAGTTGTCTTCCAGATTACTTAACAATTACTATTCTACAGATTAAATACCTAAATGTCAATGTAATCTTTGATCGTCTTAATAGTCGTTCTGGCAACTGTGGATACAAATATGTACCGAACTAATTCGCAAGCGCAAGGTGGGAAGTTATTGCTTTATAGTCGCACAATTAGGCCTATTGTTGAGTCCTTGGTGGCAAGCGGCCATCTTGGATGATTTCAAATAGCTGCAAAATTTATTGTCCAAAAATATTTTTCATACACCAAAGTGTTTATAATTTAAATAGCTAGTATACTGTGGGATTAGAAATGTTCTTTGTAGTTTTGAATTATTCTCCAAGGGAGTCCATAAAATAACGGTCAAGGTCATCTTGGAAAAAGGCCAACTAATACGAAAACAATATCCTGTGTTGCGCGGGCCGTAGCACACAAATAGTTTTCCCGCCTCAAACAATTAAAGGCGCGTGGAACAAGGCAAAATTCTTGCGTCTCTAGCGGCGAGAGGTCGGGGCGGGCCTAACGGGTTCCATTGATGGGCTACCCGGCTACCGACCGACCTGGGGTAGCGACTAGCGAGCCAGTGGATGGTTAAAGGTTCTTCCGGTTATTTCCATCTTATTGCTGGTTCTCGAGCTTTTTGAGCTCGTTGTACAGTGAAATCTTACTTCCCTATTTTATATAGCCACAATCAAAGCGATTTTTACAAGAAAGAATGAAGATATAGACTCAGTGATGTGTGGTTACTTAATTAAATCATGTTCCTTGATTGTTTACCCTTTTGTAAGAGCCAATAATCAATCAACTTATATTTCTTTATTTTTCGATTTATTATCTATATCAATTCAAGAGGTAGCCCTGTACCTGGTTAACAAATATACCGACTACATTTAACGTGTTTTCTTTGAGTTACGCCCCATGGGATTCCAAAGTTTCACAATGTTTACATTTTTGAAGAATGTAGATAACAGAATGTTTAACGAAGTCAGCTGTAAATGCTGTCAATGCAGTGCTTTGATTTTGCGGTCCAAAAGGTAGAAACGATTCGATTTGTGAAACTTTGAACTTTTGCTATGGGCCTGTTAATTGGAGATTGTGACTTTCTTAATTTAAGGAAGTAAACGTATTAACATGACGTGTTTGGAGTGGGATTTGAAATATGTGATGTGTATCAAACTTTTTCTCTTCAAAATCCTCTCCGATGTATAACACAGGTACGGCAGCTAGGTTTATTAGAATTTTATTATTATTATTAGGTTTATTAGGTTTAGTGAGTCGGTGGCTCAGTCGGTAGCGTCGCGGACTTCGGGCCCAAGGCAGCGATGTCGTGGGTTCGGATCCTGGTCACTGCCGATAACATTTTATCAGTACAGTTCACCTTTGTACTGTACCGGCTCACTCCTTGCTTTGCTGTAAACGATCCACGCACGGGCGCTTAGTCTATGTGGACGGGCAAATGCAAGGTTAAAAGAGGCCGCCAACCTCTTTTGTAAAAAAAAAAAAAAAAAAAAAAAAAAAAAAAAAAAAATTCAAAAGTTTTTTTAATTGTCCTCCAATGTTTAGAAATTATTTTTCGATCAAGTTGTTTAATGAATAAATAATTGTTTTGCCAAATTATGTTTCGAAACCAGGAACTAAAAATAGATCAGGAAATAGATATTTTAGTTCAGAAAACAAAGCCAATCAAATAGGCCTACGTACTTTTTAAATAAAAACACTGGTCGGATGGTTTTTAACTTTGCTGTTTATTTACTTCAATAAATTTCTAATAAAAATCACCACAGGTACTAATCTATATAAATAAAATTAGAGTTTTGTCTGTACATTGCTCAGAATCATCAATTTTTAGATTATTTTTACGTTTTAAACATACAAGAATCCGAAAAAAGTTTCATCTCAAATCCGTTATTATCTCAATCATCAATTATTATCTCAATTCCGTTGTTGTCTATCTTCCGTCTGTCACGGTCCAAAGGTTTTACGCGGCCTTCTCCTGAAAAACGAGAGTACCTATCAAGATCCTCGAATCATTTTAATGTATTCACTGGATTGGCGAAAGTGTCTTTAGCTAATAAAATATGGCCTCACTACTTTGTAAAAAAACTTACGGACGTTTAAAACCCAATTTTGTGCGATTTTTGTCAAGTTTTCTCACAATGTTTATCACATAATCATCATATGAAATAGCGAACAGCTGTTCGGATCAAGATTATTTTTCTCTAGCTGTCACTGATATGTTTACATTGAATATTGTTTACAAATATCGCAATCATTTCAGATCAAGTTTCAAAAGCAAATCCAAACCAAGTTGGATTAAAACCGTTTTTCCTTACATAACGGATTTAATTAATCGCAAGTGCAATAATGTGTAGGGTAACCATAAATGAAAATAGAGCTTCTTTGTGTATACAATTTCTATTGAGTTTTGGGTTGATAATCGGGGAAAAGACATTGACTCAGTGTTCTATATGCCTGGGAAACTTACATTTTTTACATAAGCGTTACCAATAGCTTAAGTATAAGGTTTCAACTCGTTGACGGCACTTCAATGGTGGTTGTGTAAAGTGTTTAGAGACAACTGCAGTGGGTGATTGTAACAGAGGTTTACGGATTATGCTCAAATCGTATTTCTAATGTGTCTTCTCAACGCTATGTGCTGCTCGCTACCATACGTCCAACAGACCAATTATCCATCTCTTGGGTTCGTAGGCTTAAACAAATTATTCACAAGTTGGTAGCGCATATTACTCAGTGTTCCGTACGGACAGGAGAAGAGCACCTTTGATAGTGAAATTTCCAACCTGAATGTTTAATGGCGAGGTTGAGGTATAGTATTTTAACTATATATTGTTTAGTTAGTTAGGTAAGGTTAACCTAACCTAACTAACCAAACGATATATCGAATTAAACAATCGAATAATCAATATTACTCATTTAGTTGTTTGTGCCCATAGATATGGAAGTGTACCCCTCATAGATCTATTACGCATTTTTTTTTTTTTTTACTTGAAACTGTCAGATACTGTATTTGTTTGTATATAATAGTTTGGCCAGCATATCTGAAAATATGCAAACCAATAGTTTTTCTTTATTTAGGAAGGTTTCAACTGACCACTAGAGGATCCCCGTGCGTAGAACGGGCACACAGCTAGTAATTAATATTTAATTAATACATCTTATCTTACTAATATTATAAATGAGAAAGTTTGTGTGTTAGTTTGTTTGTTTGAAGTTCAATCACGCATTAACTACTGGCACAGAAAATATACTGTTTTTGATTTAAAAATAATTTGTCATATTGTGCGAATCTTTGGTGATTTGCTTTTTTCTGCTGTTTAGGTGCAGTGGTAGAACATTATTATGGATATGGTAGATGTTTTATACTATATTATACCGTAAATTAAAGAAAACCAAATGTTCTCAATACGTGTCCTCCAGCGTTGAATTTTTTTTTACGGTTTGAGGCCGTTTGCTGGTTACAATATTTAATTGTTTTGTCCAATGTCCGAAATGTAAAAACATGACATTGCTATCCCACAAGTCAACTTTTCGTGTCCTTTTTTGGACAAATACTAGATAGAGGGTTAACTATATAAAATTAAGTGTGATTTGAAATTTAAACAAAACTAGCGGACTCGTGCTGCTACGCAGCTTTAAAATAACATAGCATATCCTAGAAATAATCAAATTTATGATACAACAGGACTGACGATAACGTGTTGACGTAGAAACCTAGGTCTCCACTAAAAGATATGCCTTCGATTTATGTCAAATTTAAGATTTTTTATCGAGTAATACAGTATCTTGGACTTAACTGTTTCAAAAGATTAATAGTTAAAATTAAAGCCAAAGATTAATAGCTCAAATTAATATAATTCACGGATTATTTTAAATCTAAAACATAAATAATAGTAGAACTATTGGTTTTTAATCATAGAAAAACCTTATGAAAAATAAGTTTTATTTTGGTTATTCATCTTGTGTTTGCTTGAAACTCGTCCGTCTTCAATAACTAATAGCTTAAATTAAA